TCCTTTCTTCATATGGCGAATATACTTCAATCTGCTTCTTCCGTCACACACTCCGAAGGCCATCCGCTACTTTCCTGTTTGATCTTCAGAAAGAGATCAATGTAGGAACGAAACAAGGAAGTAGACGATTCTTTGAAATGATACACTTCGTAAATCTAGAAAATAAAGAATAAATTTCAGTTATGACAAAAATATTTTAAATAAATTTGGGTTATGACAAACGAATTTAAATAATCTTTGAATACTTACATGTGTGACGCGGTAACCTTTTCTTTATCGCCAGCTTGACTTCTTCCGATACCCACGTTCCGACAAGAGCTCTTTCGTCGTCTGTGTGGGGTACAGGAAGACTGACACTGTAGAAAGGCGCAAGTCCGACACAGGGGGAACATCAGTAGTCTTCTTCCGGCACCGATAAGGGCAAGTACTAGGAAGATATAGGTTCCGGGGAGGAATGACACGGCATTGAATGATGCCAAAGTAGTTTTCTAGATCCCCGAAGCTTTCCGTGATGATTTCCGGATGTCCCACAGGGTAGACGCAATATTTGTTCACCTGTGAAATGAAAACAAAAAGTCAGAAAAACACACATAAAAAAAATACATAAAAATCAGAAAAACACATCATCCATGAAAAGGTTTTTAAAATAATAAAAAAGTACGAACCCATGGATAGAGGGATGTGAAATCCACATATTTTTGCGTCTCCCTCGTGGAACAATTTGAGGGCATTGGTCCGTCCTCCGAAAAATGACTCGCGAGGATTGAGCCGGTCCCTCAGATGGTGTTGATCCAGGAAAGCTTGGAGATCTGGATTTTCTTCCTTCTGTCTTGAAACTCATGCTCCCACATTTCTATGACGTGGAAACCCTGGGCTGCGAAGTTTTCGTGTGGTCTCTTCTGTCTTTCTCTCAAACGTTGCCATGGAAACTCCTTTTAAGGGGTGGATGACATCCCCGTCATAGCACGAACTACATCCATGGAAGAAACAGCCCTAAATAATACAATACATTAATAGTGTTCAATATGTAAATTAAACATTAAAAGTGTAAAATCATTCAAAAGAAATCATAGAAAAAGAAGAATGGTTATATTTTCTTACCTGAAACTGATAGACGGTTTGTGTTGCTTGGCAGAAACCGTCTACCGAGATTCCGGCGATTCTGTGCTCTCCGGAACCGTTCAACGCATGTTGAATGGCAATGCCTTCCTAAGCGGCAACAAAGTCCAACCACCGGATCGAATCAGGGCTGTAATTCGTGGAGTTCCCATATCCGTGTGTGGGTACCATGGCAATCGTGTTGGTCTGAATGTGGCCACTCCGATACGTAGTCATACACGCTGACGCAATGGTCACGTATCTGAAAAGAAAAAAACCAACTTCATGAAGCATGATTATTCATAAGAACATAACTGTAAACATTATCATTACTGTATAAAAGAAATTAAAAAATAACTTACTGGAATGGATCCACACCCGCCACATCCAAAAACTGGGCTCGAAATTCCAAGGCAGCAACGACGAAGAATATCCACGTCCGATCTATTAAAAGAAAAATGTTAAAAAAATACGAAACATAAAATATATAAAAACAAAATTTAAAATAAATAAGAATAAAGGAGGGAAAAAATATACCTGCAATAGCCCAGCATCTCTGCTTGAAAATTGAACACATCCCCCTTGTGTTCTTCGTGCCAGGATAGAAATGCTTTTCGGGCTGAAGTGCTCATGGTATCCGGGCTGTAATAGTGGGTCTCCGGTAGCGTTCCGACATAACTCTGGTTTTCTCGCGAGTTGAAAAGATGCGGGAAGTATCCTTTCTTCAACTCGGTGAGACTGAAGCATCCCGGCAGTTTGGCCAACGCCATTGGCAAAAAATTTAACGAGTCTATGACCCGAATGTTCAGACTAGGATGTCTTAAACACATGATCATAGACCCGTTAGGGATCACTTCCGGCGCTGTGCCTTGCTCCAGGAGCCAGGCCATCACGAACTGTCCGTCGAACCTGTAAGTAAATAAAAAAAATATGAATAATATTGAAAAAATAGTCGTGACTTAAACTCAAATCATGCAAACTATGGTGTATTTTTTAACTTACCCTTTCATGTTATGTGCCACGGCGGTGAAGCCCTTGTGCTCTGTGGAGAACAGCCAGGCGCAGAAATCTTGAAATGCCGTGTATCCTGGAAACACTTTTTCTGTGCTGTCGGAATACTGAGCCACAGCAAAATTTACGAGGCGTTCTCCCGAAGACTGGTCCGTTTCAAAGAAAAAGAACTTGTCATCAGACTTTTTCGGGGCAAAACGTCGCAAATAACAACGGTGCTCAACAGCCACGACAAACTGGCTGCAAGACGGACACTTGGTGTTTACACACTTGTGAAGCTCTTTAGGGCAATCGCGCCTTCGGATCACTTGGCAGCAGTGCCTGCACTGGTATATCTGTAAAGACATTTATTATTTTTTAAACACAACAATTTCAAAAAATTAAATGATAAAATAACTTTGTCATAAGATAAATTTTCAAAAACACTTACCCTGTCGCAAAGTGAAAACTCTTGGTTTCCAGTCAGGGCTTTGTGTGCTTCAAAGCAGGCATCGGATCGGCAGAGACGGTCGCCAAGCCTGACATCGTTGGGGCTGGCCCGGAAAGCAGTCGGTCCTCAAGCATATGGGACACGCATTGGCGACATTCGATGTTCTTCAACGCGCTGGTAGGTCTTCAGTAATGGTTGCTGCCGAAAAACCCTTTGAGGGACTTGATCACGTCATATTGTCCATCTTGAAGCCATAAATTGATTCGTTGTGTCCTCTTTCTTCCTTTATAGACCACCTAAAACATAGACAAAAATTTTCTCTTAAATTCCAAAAATCAAACCCTTTTAGATATTTTTTTTTCACATCGAAACGAATCGCTACATAATCTTAATCATCTAAAAATTACTTGTGCATTAAGCATCTAAACTAATTACATGCCTAATCATCTGAAAATTCATTGTGCATTTCATTTTAACATCAAAACGAATTGCATATAAAAATAATCTAAACAAGTTAATGTAACCTAAAAGTAAAAATTTTCACAAGTTATATTTTTAATATCTAAACAGAAAAACTTTTCCTAAATCGAATAATCTAAAACTTTCGATTTTATACACCCTAAATTTTGAATATCTAAACAAATTTCCTACATGCATGCATTTTATGCGTGAATATGCATAAATATAATCTTAAAAGTTAAAGTAGTCTAAAGAATTCACTAGGCATTTTTATAAGGCATATTTTTAACGTCTAAAGAAATAGCATGCATGCATAAAATATAAAAGAATCTAAAAATTCCACCATGCGTTTTTACAAGTTATCTTTTTTTTAAAATCAAAGCTAATTGCTTACATGCATAAAATATAAAGTTAATCTAACAATTTAAAGTAAAAGTAAAGATCCATGTTATATTTTGAACTTCTAAAGGAAAAACTTTTCTCTAAAAATAAATTCCAAAATCGAACAATTTAGAAAAAGAAAACATTCAGTTTTCCCCCCATTATATTTTTAACGTAGAAACTAATTAAAAGTATTCTGAAAAGATAAAGTTCTCTGAAAATAAAAATTCATCGTGCTTTCAGTTTTTATCCTTTACATTTTAACATAGAGAAACGAATTGTATGCATGCATGCATTTTATGCGAACATTCATAAAACGTAAAGTTAATCTAAATATTTAGTGCAATCTAAAATTGCGCCATGCGTTTTCACAAGATATATTTTTAACATGGAAACAAAATGATCCTAAACTATGAAGGTAGCTACTCTCAATTTTTTTTTCAGTTCATTAATATTGAAAACTTTTTTCGAAAAATTATTCACGTACTCAAATAAATTTTTACCATGTAGCCACAAATTATAAAAGAACTAAAACTAAGTTACGGTTTTCAAAACATGCAAAAATTTTAGATAAGTGTGAACATTTAAAACAAATTTGAAAACAGAAATATCTTGAGACAAAAATAATGACTTACCCGGTTCAAATTATCCGAAGAAAAGACTGCAATTTGAGTATCCAGGTGGTCTTCAAAGATGGCAATCTCTGTAAATGTGCAGGGTCTAGAGGCACATTCGCAGCCATATGAAGTTCTTTAGCACGATTCAAGAGAGCTGGCCGACGACGATCTCGCATGGCATTGATGGCAGTCGTGTCCTTGTTCAAATGCGTTAATGCATAAACAATTGCTTTGGCACAACACAGTCCTTCGTCGTCATAGGGAATAGCCAAGATGGATTGTTTTCTTAATCTATCCATGGAGATGTTGATCACTTTTCTGTTTCCACCGGCACCCACAGGTCGTCTAATAGTGATCACGTCCACCGAGAACCCTGTATCCAGCTCGATCTTGTCTTTGGACTGCAACACTTTCATGACGGCAGCCAAAATTTTTCAACTGTAAGGGTGGAAACTACCATCAGGTACGTGCTAATCGATTTATCCAATCCTTCTGCCTGGATGCAAAACCGGATGAGGTCTGATGGGCCCAGATTAGCTGTAGTTCGACGAATGAGCTGCTCAAACAATTCCCGGACGATATCTGGAATTCGGACCATCGGGATGCCTTGTACATCCTGAGGCAGTCGTTCCATATCTATACTGGCCCGGAAGGTAATTTCCTCGCCTTGGTACTTGTGATTTCTACGACGAGTACTTTTCTGTGAGAACAATCGCCTCATCAATCTGGAAAGTAAAAATAAAAATTAAGTTCTCGGTAATAATCAAACACTTTAAAAAAACATTATTTTAATAAATCATGCAAAAAAAAAAAAAAAAAGAAAAATATATAACGATCGTTCATCGGAACCAGCCATATACATAGGGCCATGAGCTGATGACAGAGAAGTCTAAAAATAAATAAATAAAAATAAACATATTCATTTTTAGTAATAAGAAAAAATATTCTAACAGAATCTAAAAATGCTGAAATACTTACCTCGAATCCGGAACCCACTTGATAATACAAGGGCAGAACCAGGGGATTTTCCATGAATATTTGATCAACTTCATCTAATAACTATCCAAATAAAAAAGAATACACTTAAAATACCTTTAGATAGAAATAAAATACATAATGAAAATACGGTGTAAAATAATTTAAACTTACATCGTCATCCGAATCACGGAAAGGACAATCAGAATCTTCAAATAACACCTAACAATTAAAAATTAGAATAAATAACGTATTCAAAAAAAATTCGTGTTTAAAAATAGTAATCTAAAACCAAATAGAAGCGAAAATATACTTACATTAGATGCAGAATAAATTTGCTTGGCAGACATCGTGTAGAAAAACGAAATGGCGGAAAAAAAAAAAATCGTAGAAAGTCAAAAGTAAAGTTCACTCAGCAGCAACCAGAGTAGAAATGATTGCAGTCAGTTCAGTTATCTGATTTAGACAGCATTTAGCAGCCCACTGCTTTAACTACCTGTCGTGGTATTGCCCTAAGGCTTGGAAAAATGAGAATAAGGCGGTAACCGCCGCACCTCTATAGGCGGAGCTAGAATAGTACATGAGTACACAATGAAATTTAGAAGTGCATCTGGGAAACCTGTTAGAGCTGGCAACAAAATATGAAAATATATTAAGTTATGTAGTAAGCTAAATCTCATAATTTCACTTTTCGAGACTAGGCTAATGCAATTTAGCTCTCGTACCAGTGATATTACTGCTGCTTTAGCTACTAGGAGCTCTTACCAGTATATTATCATTTTACCATAGGCCATAAAGTTAAAAATTTAAGAGGTGTATTTAAAATACACCGCGCCCGAAGGCGAGATCAATAAATGAGAGAACTCATAAAATAAGTTTTGCTAAATTGCATATCATGGCATAGCATGGGTGATTATATACGTAAATGGTGGCGAGAAGCGAAATGAAAAAGTCTAAGCTTCTGCGTGAGTCAAGAAGAGCAGGAAACACGTGATCAGCGTCCGGCATTTAGATTGGTCGAGGAGTCAGAGTTCGAAAAATGAAGTTTTTGTAGTTTTTGGCAATAAATAAAGTTCGAACATAGTAAAAGCAACATCTATTTGTGAATTTAAGAGTCCTATGTCTTTTGAAACACTTGAAAATCTTCTAAACTTGCGATATAATCATTAAATGAATAGGAAACTGTAAAAGGCGAAAATGAGGTCATGTAGCTCACTAGGGCTAATGAGTGAGAGTAAGAACTTGGTGTTACCATGAACTTTGATTTTAAAACACACGATACGAAATAGTAAAAATAAAAAAGTAAAAATCTTGGTTAAATAAGTAGTAAAACGAAGAATTCATCGATGAAAAATAAAGTCCTAACTTTGCAAAGTTCATCTTTCTTGAATAGTAACTGCAGAGGAATAGTAATTTTTTTTTTTTTATATATATACATTATATACACTACCACCACTTAGAATTGTGGTGGATCGTTCGAGGTCTTTTCACTACGTTCTCAATAGTAGGGTCATAGTCTGTAAGCGATTTAATAGCTTCATAGGGAGAATTTCTCATATCTTCAAAGAAGTTGTGTGCAGAAATTAGGATTTGGTCGTGAATTGGATTGATATCCAGGTCTTTGTGAATTTGAGAATTTCGCACGAACCAGGGTGCGTTCACTATGCTACGTAAGATTTTGTTTTGAAGTAACATTTAATTTTTGTCTGTCTATTTTTCGGGCAGTAGCCCAGGCTGGAACTGCATAGAGGATTATTGGTCGAATAAGTGAGATGTAGATATTTTTCTTGGTACGGAGGTTTAACTTAGAGTTTCTTCCAATTAATGAGTAGAGAGCAATGAAAGCAGCGTTAGCCTTATTTGTAACATATTGAATATGATCTTTGAAATTTAGGGTTTTGTCAATATAGACACCTAAGTATTTATAGGAGTTGGCAACAGGAATATCTTGGTTATTGAGTCGGATATTTATATTCACTGGGATATTTTTTCTGTATCTGCGAAAGAGAACTACGCAGCATTTATCAGTATTTAGTTTGATTTTCCAGTCTTGACAAAATTTGTTAATAATGTTGACTTGGAGCTGAAGTTTCTCTAAAGCATTATTTGGACTTCGTGAACTGGTGAGGATGACTGTGTGTCGTCGGCATATTTGAGTATATTAGAATGAAAAGGTAGAGGCATATCATTTATGAATATTGTAAAAAGCTTCGGTCCTAAAACACTGCCTTGAGCTACTCCACTGTAAATCACTTTTTTTGAAGAGATTGCTTCACCACAGCGCACTTGAAAAGTACGATGTTTAAAATAAGAATGCATAAGCTTAATAAAGCTGTTTGGTAAAAGGAAGTTAGATAGCTTATGAAGTAAGCCAGCATGCCACACTCGATCGAAAGCTTTTTCGAAATCGAGGAAGCATGCCGCTACTCCGTTCTTTTTTGTAAATTCTTGGGCAATAAATTCAACTAAATTTAATATTTGATGTGTGGTATTGTGGCCTTTGCGGAATCCAAATTGATGCTTGTCTATTAGATTAAGGCGTTCTAGATGATTGGTGAGCCGAGCACTAAGTACTCGTTCGAAAACTTTTCCAAGCGCTGGCAGAAGACTGATGGGTCTGTAATTTTTTGCTAGCTTTGGATCTTTTCCTGGTTTCGGGATGGTAACAATGATCGAGTGTTTCCACTGCGATGGAAAGTAGCTGAGTCTAATACAAGCATTAAAAATATTTGTAATTAAGACTATGCATCTTCTAGGTAAAGCTTGCAACGCTTCATTAGAAATCATGTCATATCCTTTAGCTTTGCGCTTCTTTAATTTTTTAATAATTTGCTGAACTTCGTTTGGAGATGCAGGCGTAAAAAAATTAATGCTGGGACTGTTGAGGATGCTATTGACAGAGTAATTAATATCTTTTTCGTGATCAGAATTTTTATTTTCATGTTGTTTAAAAATGTTTTCTAATTCTTTTGCATGAATTTCAGCAATGGAGTCTTCGGAGTGGTGAAATTTTGCCCATGTGATACAGGGGGTGAATTTGATTGGGTGAAAGATTTCTGAGTGATTTAGCTACTTTCCAAACAGAGTTTGGGTAAAGATCCATGTTTTCTAGGAAATTATCCCACGAATTTGATCGATGGGTGGCGATGTCTTCTTTTATTTTTCTGTTTAAATAATTAATATGACGTTTTTCAGTAGGATTGCGAGTAATATGCCATCTTTTTCTAAGTCTATTTCTTTCTTGTATAAGGGATTTAATTTCTTCTGGGATGCCATAGGGATTTTTATTCTTGACTGTATAGGTAGCATTATTGATAGCGTTTTGAATTTTGGAGTTTAATCTGGTGATTTCCAGCTCAATATCGCAGTCATAACGAAGTGTGGCTCTGCTGTTTACAGAATTTAGCTGTTCGGTAACCATATACCAATTAACTTTTGTATGAGCTTTAGGGAGAGGGGGATAAAATCCATAGAAGTTGAAGACTATAGGGAGATGGTCAGACGAAAGTTCTGGGAGAACATCAAGATTAGGAATATTAGGAAGGTTTTTCATCAAAACTATATCTAAAATATCCCCTAGTCCGTTGTGCGTATAGTGCGTTGGGTGATTGGGAGCAATGAGATTGATGTTACTATTGTGGATGAAGTTGCTTAAATTTTCTCCATTTCTATTTGTGACTCTACAGTTCCAAGAGGAATGTTTAGCATTTAAATCACCTGCTATTAAGGTGGGGTAGTTATTTTCAGTAAGTAGTTTCAGATTATTGAGATCAAGAGTGCTGGAGGGGGGATTGTAGACGGAGATAAAAAGAAAAGGTTCTCTAAAACCACTATAGATAAGTACTGCAGCATTTTCTATAGTACAAGCAGGGATTTAAATCATATTTGGCTGTTTTGATATGGTTTTTAATGAGAATTGCGTTTCCTCCCCCTCTATTATGTCTTCTGTCTTTTCTGTAGATGCGGTAGCCTTGTATTTTAAATTTGTCGCAAGAGCGGAGATGGGTTTCATTTACTAGCATAACATCAATGTTATGTCTAGTAAGAAAATTTGAAATTTCCACTTGTTGGTATCTGATGCCGTTTGCATTATAGTAACAAATCTTTAAGAAGCTATTTGTAGCTGAGATAAAATTTATTTGACTATGAGTTTGATTAAAATTCATAGTTTAGATTTGAGAAATATTCGAAGGCCGCCATACCGACCTCTAGTTTGTCTAATATTGTTTTTGCTGTTTTAAATTTCTGGAAGAATTCTTTAACTTGAGTGAATTGGATTTTTATCCAGTCAAAAAAGCCAAGTGGGTTTGAGTTTGTGTCTTCTGTTTTACTAGTGTTTTCATTTTCCTTGGAAGTATTCCATGCATTTTTTGGTTTGTTCTCAGGGAGTGAAGGAAAATCCTTTTTGTTAAATTTAAATTGTTCTTTTTTCTTTTCTTCTTTGAAAGCTTTAGATTCTTCGATTTGCTTCTGAACATTATAAGGATGTTTACTGCAACCTTTGAAGGAAAGAAACGTGATTTTGCCCACAGAGGGCACAGACAGGGAGTTTGTTGTCATTTTTTGTTTGTTTACAAGTGAATGTTTCATGAGGCTCTGCACATTTTAAACAGCGAGGTTTATAGTGACATTTGTCCCGTGTGTGCCCGTACCTTTGGCACTTATGGCACTGCACGGGTCCAGGGCGAGCTTTAAAAGGCTCGATGAAGACATCCAGACCTCTGAGTTTCTTTAGATCATATATTCTTTTACCTTCTTTATTTCTAGTACATTCTGCTATAAAAACAGGAAGATGAACTTTCTTTCCTTCAATAGTGTGAATTACTTGTCGAATTTTTTGAATTGGGATACCTTCTTGGGCAATTTCGTTTTTGATTAGTTCCATATTAGCTGTTTTTGGAAGTTTTTTAATTATTGCCTTGATAGGCTTTTCACTGTTGAGTTTATAAGTATGAAAAGGAATAAGTAGTTTAGTTAGGTATTCAGTAACTGTGCGGTAGTGGTCTGAGTCATAAACTCTTATGGTCAGTGTACCTCCCCTTAGGTTTCCACGATATTTTTTTATATTTAATTGCTCTTCAAAATCTTCTTTCATCTTATCCCAATCCCCCGTGAAGTCTGCTAAGACTATAGGGGGAATGTGTCCTGCTTTTTTGTTGGGTGTAATAAATTCACCTTCCTCTGCTTCCATATTGTCTTCAGGGTTTAGTTCCTCGAATTTATTTTTTTGAGCTGGTTCTTCATTTCGGAATTTGATAGAGTTCTTTTATGAGTTTT